CTCGAAGAGGACTTCGACGACGCCATGAAGAAGCCGAGGGGAGGCTTCGAGAGGGGTCTCCGTCCCGATCGCATACTCGGCGCCACCGACGCCTCCGGGGAACTCATGTTTCTCATGAAATGGTTGGACTCGGATGAGGCGGATCTCGTGCCCGCGAAGATGGCTAATGTGAAGTGCCCGCAGGTATGACACCATCCATGCGTTCGTTGCCATAAAGATGACATCACTGTTTAATTGGTAATGTCTTTGTGTGTCTACGTCTGTGTCCATACAGATCGTCATCAAGTTTTATGAGGACCGCCTCACGTGGCACTCAAATGCCGAAGAGCTGAACGCCGCGGCAAAGGCTGACTGATGGATGATATTGGGGTCCAAAGTCATGGATTTGATTCCATACACCTCTTTGTTTTTGTCTTAATCTCACGATTTTTATTTAATTATTAAAANATACAGATCGTCATCAAGTTTTATGAGGACCGCCTCACGTGGCACTCAAATGCCGAAGAGCTGAACGCCGCGGCAAAGGCTGACTGATGGATGATATTGGGGTCCAAAGTCATGGATTTGATTCCATACACCTCTTTGTTTTTGTCTTAATCTCACGATTTTTATTTAATTATTAAAAACGTTTTGTCCTTTTTATGAACCAATAATTATCTGTCGATTACTTCAACCATTATCTCTCATCTCAATGTGTCCTCAAAACTATCAATCATTATAACTGACACTCCGTTTGATTGGATTTGTATTTAAATGAGACTTTAATTGAATAATAAGTCTGTAATGCATTCGCATGTCTTATGATTTATATAATAGCATATCATATGAATGAATAATTATTTCTAATTTGATTTTGTTTTCCATGTGTAAAGTAAATGATTTATATTTTAATTGCAAAGTAAATAAAAAAATCCATTAATATGTAGTAACCATTGATGCAATCCGTGGGCTACCTGAGCGCAAGGCATTGTCTAACGCTGGGAACAGATGTCACCTCCAGGTGTGGGAACAGTGTTTGCAAAGCCATTCAACCAATGGTTACGTCATTTGCAGACAAATCACTGGATATTTTAGATTTGATAACAATTTACCAGTCGTTTGGCTAACGACTTGTCATTTCATTAATTTCGCACAACTTTATGTCAATTTACAAATCATTTGCAAACTATTTATAACACTATGTCTGGCCATTCACTGCACCCATACACCGCGAACTGTAACCACCATTCACTGCACTATTGATTGGGTTTGTATTTTGCGTGATTTAACTGTCACTTCAGCTAATCTATGGTCTGTTCACTCCATATGTTTGTCCAGGTCTTCGGCACAAATTATGGCCAATTAGGTGGCGGTTAGCCCTACGGACGGCTCCCACGCAGGGAGTCGTCGTCTCATATCTTTTCGTTAATTTAATCGTTATTTTCAAAGTTTTTTGCCGTGAAAGAGTTTATTTAATTGCCATTTAATCTGAAGTACAAATGAGTGGTAAATCAGTTGATGTCATGTCTGGCGCACATCAGCCCGAGTGCACCGTTTGGTGCAAAAGTGGTGAACACGCGATGCAAATGATGTCCGCAATCACTGGTCGCCCGCCATCTGATCGACTGCAGGCTTACTGTCGCTCTCTTTGCCACAACTTCCCGCTGATTGCGGACACAATGGGTCGCAACGCCCTC